GAGAATTTTTAATATTTATTCTTTTTTAGTTATCGACGGACACAACATCTTTGTTGGTATGTGGTGCTGAGGATCGAACCCGGGCCACACGCATGCCAGGCGAGCGCGCTACCGCTTGAGCCACATCCCCAGCCCCGGTACAATATCTTTATATATTTATTTTTATGTGGTGCTAAGGATCGAACCCAGTGCCTCACATGTGCAAGGCAAGTGCTCCACCACTGAGCCCCAGCCCCAGCCCCCACATCATAAACCTTTATAAGGTCAGTGCGGTTGGACAGCTTACAGAGGATGGGAAGTAGGAAGAAGAAAGACAAATGGAAATAGAGGGGAATAATTTCTTCATCAACATAGTAGGAAACCAGAAATTACTGTCCACAATTGATACATGAAAAAAAATAGAGGTTTAAGTATATCATTTAATTTTAAAAGGCAAATAATAGAACTAAAGTGAAAATCATAACTAACAAAAATGAAGAGTGCTGAAGTGAATTATAGCAAAAGTTAGTAAAGCTGATAATTTAATTATTAGAGGTTCAAAATATTAAAATCAAGAAGTTACAAAAACTAGAAACAAAACAAAACAAAAAAGTCAGAAGTAGTTACCTCCAAGGAGTGGAACAGAAGATGGGAAGGTAAAATTTTACTTTTTACAAAAGGATCTCTGCATTACTTAAATTAATTTCCATGTGCATGTTTGCGTTTATAACTTAAGAGCTGAATAAACAGATCAATTGTTCAACAATTTAAAGGACAGCAGAGAAAGAAATCAATGCTTGGAAAAGCAAAATAAGGCTAAAGTGTACATTATTATATTAGGTAAGGAAAGAGGGGTAAAAATTAATTTTAAAAAATTAGTACAGGGCTGGGGATGGGTCAGCAGTAGAGTGCTTATCTAGTATGCACAACACCTGGGATTCAATCCACAGAACCCACCCACCCCCCAAAAAAAAGTTAATACAAAAGCAAGGTTATCTACAGCAGAAGATGACCCCAGCCTGAATGAAAACAAGAGAAGTGTCAAGTCTAGCAGAAAGGACCTGAGAACTAGAAAGGAAAATACCAATCCCAGAGCTCAAAGACAGGGAGCTGCTCATTCTGAGAGATTTCTCTGAGGACAGCAGAAATCTGAGCTCTCATCTCTTAACAAGGAAAAATGCTATCAAGAGGCAGAGCTATGATCTTTAAATATTCCATGTAATTTTATTTATAACATGACTCACATTCTATTTCAATAAGAACACGCTACAATTCTTAAAGCTAATAGAATCCTCTCTTGAGGTCTGCTCTGGAGTATGTTAGTTAAGAAGTCTTTTTTTTTTTTTAAAAAAAAATCATTTATATATATTCTCAGTTTCTTAAGGCCTAACTTGAAAATAGGAAGCACAGTAAATTCAGGATATGCCTGTAAATGTAAAATCATAACCCTGGGTTCCATTGATCCTTATAGGGTTAAAAGGTACTTGTCTTTTCACTCCTCTTATTCTTCTACTGTATTATTTATTTATTAATATGTAAAACACTGCTGGAGCATCTAAGTGCTAAAATACAAAGTTAAAAACATAAATTATTTAAATCCATCAAGTAATGGAAGCAAACAAAGATACTGATGACTTAATGCAAAGTTACATGAGAGGAGTTATTAGTGAATGCGTTTTTTAATTTAAAAAAAAACCATTTCACTAAATACAACATCATTATAACATGTACCTGGTCAACAGTCAACCAGATCTTGTTAAAAACGCACCTGGTATAGCACCTTTGGCAGAGGAAAATAAAAGAGAGATGAGGAATATATTTTATAACATACAAAATGTCATAAGGGATGGCTAAACATCAAAGATGACAAGTTTTGAGGAAGCACAGATCTGGTCCCGGAGCTACACACTCAATGAGCAGACACTCTGGAAAGACAAATGGATGGCTGGTTGCTTATGGGCCTCAGAGACCCTCTAGTGTCATAAAGAGGGTCCCAGGAGCTTGGGAAAAGTTAACCATTTCATCTGCCCTTTTCCATCATTTAGCCTGGCTTGGCCCTCAGGTAATGCTTTGGTACTAGGAGGCAATGTGGTAGACTGAAAAGAGCCCTGGGTTTAAATCTTAGCTCTTCAACTTGGAAAAGATACTCTCTCTGAGCTTCATTTCTTCTTCTATAAAATAAGGACAATACCCCACAAGCATTTTGTATTCAGACAAAAAGAGATAAAATAATGTAGGTACTGGAATACTAATTAGGATATAATTGTTACTTTTCTTAAGCTGTGGCAGAAATGCCCACAAAATCTGTGCTTCAATGGGAATTTCCTGCCTAGCCAGAAATGGACTACATCCACATTAGTATACAAGTACCTATTTCTCTTTTCTTTTCTTGTCTACCAGCTAGATGTACGTGATGCTGAGGAGGCTCTAAATGATGGTGGAACTATAAGAAGGGAGATGCATGGGTTCCTCATTCATCTGTGGAGAATGGCCACTTGACAACAGAACACCCACAGTGACTGTTAGATGACTGAGAAATACACTATTGTGTTAAGTCACTGAAATACTGAAAATTATTTGTTACAGCAGCAAGTGCTACCTTAACCAAGATACATGTGCTTTGTGATAATATAATAGTAATGGTGATGGTGTCAAACATGCCCTCAGACAAGCCATTGTTAATGCTATTTAGAAATCTTGGTCAAGTAAGCACCTGAAAAGATGTTCAACATCATTAGCCATTAGGTAAGTGCAAATTGAAGCCACAATGATATGCTACTTCATCTCCACATTCTGTGATCAAAAAGATGGACAATAACAAGTTCTTGTGGAAAATTAGAATGCCTCATATGCCGCTGGTAGGAACAGAAAATGGTGTTAGCTGCTATATAAATGCTTGGAAGTTCTTCAAAAAATCAAACACAGTTACCACAGGACTCAATGGCTATTTCTAGGTTTATACCCAAGAAAACTGAATATGTTCATATGAAAACTTATATATATACTATTCATAGTAGCATTATTCATAATAATAAGAAGTGGAAATAATTCAGATATTTACCAACTGATGAATGGATAAAAAAATTTGGTTATACAATGGAATACTATTTATTCTTAAAAATAAATGAAACTCTGATATATGTTACAATCATGGATTAACCTGGAAAACATCACACTAATTAGAAGTAATGAATACAAGGTCATATAAGATTTCATTTATATGAGATGTCCATTATATGAAAATCCATAGAGAGAGAAAGAAGATTGCTGGCTGCTGGATTGGGGGAGTTGAAAAGAAATGGGGGTGGGTGACTGTTAATGAAGAGAAGGCTTCATTTTGGAGTGATGAAGATGTTCTAGAATGTTGGAAGTGATGGCTGCACAATTCTGTGAGTATACTAAAAAGCACTGAATCATACACTTTATAAGGGGTGAATTTATAGTATGTGAATCTGACAAAGTTTGGACTGAAAATGTCCCCCCAAAGGCAACTGTGGTCAAGATCTGGTTGTCAGTCTATGGTTGCTACTGGGAGGTGGGTCAGGTGGAAGGAAGTTAGGTCACTGGGGGCAAGGACGTGAAGGGAATATTAGGACCCCATCTCCTTCCTCCTCCTCTGCTTCTCAGCTGCCATGAGGTGAACAGTCCTCCTCAGTCATATGTTCCTGCCCTGATTGCTCTACTGTGTCACCATAGGCCCAAAGCAACAAGAGCAAGTGACCATGGACCGAAACCAAGAACCTACACAAACTTTTCCTCCCTATAAGTTGATTTTCCAGGTATTTTAACACAGCAATAGAAATTGGACTAACACAGAACAATAATGCAATTTAAAAAAGAGCTGGGTGTGGTAGCGTACCCAGCAGCTCAGGAGGCTGAGGCAGGAAGATCATGGGTTCAAAGACAGCCTCAGCAACTTAGTAAGACCCTGTCTCTAAATAAAACATAAAAAAAGGGCTTGGGGGCTGGGGCTGTAGCTCAGTGGTAGAGCACTTGCCTAGCATGTGTGAGGCAGGCACTGGGTTCAAGCCTTATCACCACATATAAATAAATAAAATAAAGATATAAAAAAAATACATATTTAAAAAAAGAGAAGAAGGGCTGGAGATGTGGCTCAGTGGTTAAGCACCCCTGGGTTCAATCTCAAGTACCGAAAAAGAAAGAAAGAAAGAAAGAAAGAAAGAGAAATCAGCCATTTGCTGTCTTGTCTCCCAGAGAATCTGGCTGTACAAAAAGGCTCTCTTCACATACTGATTCTAGGCTGGTCAGAACCCACAGAATCCTTCCTGCCAGCTGTTCCTGCAACTAGGTAAGCTCAGAGCTCCCGTGCTAAGTGCATTAAATGCCTCTGCCCACGAAGAGCCTAAGGCACAAGGCTTTCCTTAATTCTGGTAACAGCTAGCTAACACAGAGATGAGATAAATTTTTAGCTAACTCTGAGACTGGTATGAGGGTGGAGAGTAAGATAGAGCCCCAGAATAATTTTTGAAGTATGTATCACGTCTTCAAAATTCTCTAAGGAAGAAAAAAAATATCTTAAAGGAATAGTGTGGGATGTGGGAAAGATCTGAGAGAGGATTGCATAAGGAAAGTATCTTTCTTTTTCCTACTTAGATATATACATTATTTTTGAAAGTGTGAGTCAAGTTCAAATCTCAACAGAAAGCTTATTTGGTCCTATCAAGTAAATTCCCATAGGTAATTAATAGTCAAACTATGGTAAAGAATTATTGTGATACATTTTCTTTTCTTATATACTTATTTTTCAGTTGTAGGTGGACACAATACCTTTGTTTTATTTATTTATTTTTATGTGGTGCTGAAGATCCAACCCAGGGCCCCCCACACGTGCTAGGTAAGCACTTTACCACTGAGCCACAACCCCGGCTGATGTAATACATTTTCAACCTCAAAAGAAGAATATAATTTGATGGTCCCAGTAATACATACTTGGAACTGCTGACTCCATCAGAAAGACTGCTCTTACAATTGGAATAAATTACTGAAAGGAGGCAACTTACTTGCAGGAGACTTTTGTTCTATCAGCCACCATGGTCCACTGTTGCTGGTTGGTAGAAACCTCAACGTAGTAACTGTAGCTGCGGTCATCACAGTCCCAAAGTAACAATCTAAACAAAGAGAAAAACAAGATTGCTGTAAATGTTCTCACTGGCATGGAGACATAGGCATGGCAATCTGTGTCTACCTCATCCTTCTAACCTGCCTCCTCTGCACATCACAATTCCAGAACTGGGGAAAGAAAGTGAATTTCCCAAAGGTACGAACAGAACAGTCTGCAGCTCGTCTCTTCAGTAGGAGTTAATTTCACAAATCCCCCAATTTTGGGTAGTCTCTGTCCACTTAACTGGCATGGTTAAGACTGGCTCTGGAGGGAGATGTCTCCATGTCCTCCTTCCTTATTCACCACTTGGTAGGGCTGACTAAACGTAACATCCTGGAGACCACTGCTCATGGAGGAATCTGCTTTCTAATTGATGATAACTAGCATGCCCCATGACCTTTACTTATCATGTTTTAGGTTTCTTTTCATTCTCACCTGTATATTTGCCTAACTTTGGTAAGATTATCTGATTTGGAGATCTAGTAATCCCAAAGGACTCGTGGCAGGGTTGTTCCAGGATCTTCCCAAACCTGCAGATGCTCAAACTACTAAAAAAAAAAAAAAATAGTGGGGGCTGGGGATACAGCTCAGTTGGCAGAGTGCTTGCCTAGCTTGCACAAGACCCTAGGTTCAACCCCCAGCACCACCACACACACACACACACCAAAAAAGTGCCATAGTATTTGTGTATAACATACACACATCCTCCTGTATACTTTAAATTATCTTTAGGTTACTCATAATACCTAATACAAAGTGAGTTCAATGAAAATAGTTGTTGCATTGTATTTTCTAGGGAATAGTGACATGAAAAAAGTCTGTACATGTTTGTTACAAACCCACACATATGGAGGATCTTCTACATAGGCAAACATATATTCACTAGCAAAGCTTCCTTAAATATTATTTAGGAAGTTATTATTTGGGTCCTTTTCTTCTTATCCCACTTTTCTACCCAGACAAGAACTTGAGCATTGACAATATATTCCACTGTTGTGAAGCTCAAAGATGACAAAATTTATCTATTGATTTCAGAACTGTGGTTACCTCTGGGGAAGGTATTGATTGGGAAATGGCATGAAAGAACTTTCTAGAACGCCAGAAGTATTTTAATTTTGATGTGGGTAGTAGTACCTGAGTATAGACATGTAAATATTCATAAAGCTACACATAAATTATTTGTGCACTCTGTATTATTCTTCAATTAAAAAGTAAGAATAAAAAAAGCAATATGGGATCTACATTTTGCTTCTGACAGTTCTGCAAGGAGATCTATGATTTCTATCATCTATGTTTTTTATGATTCCAGCCTTAAAAGTCCTTCCTATGTAAAATTCACACAGTATCTTATTGCTTTATAAGTTGGTCATGGGCATTTGTTTCCTTCACCAGTTAGAACAGCGAGCACCCTGAAGGCAGCGTATATGGCACACTGAGTTCTCGCTTCCTAGTACCTAGCCCAGTGTCTCACACAGAGCTTATGCTCAGCCAATGTCTGGGCAAATACATTCCTTCCAACAACAGTAATAATGACCATGAAAGACAGTAGTACTTCCTTAATGCTTACTGTGTTTCAGTCCCTATGTTAAGTGTTACACAATTTGTCTTATTAAATCCTTCCAAATATCCTCTTAGTGAGTTCTATTATTCCTGTCAAATTATACAGATGGTGAAAAAGGTTTAATGCTATCAAACAACTTGTCTAAACTCATGGTTGCTGAGTGATTGATAAGGATTCCAACCTGGTATCCTGAATCAAAGCCCACCCAGTTCTGTTATTCTGCTGCCAAATGTTTTCTTTATTCCCAGTCGGAATTTTCAACCTGCAACCTATCAGTTTATAAAAGTAGTTTGTATTACATTCCTTTAATTTATAATTATGATCAATGAAAAGGCTTTGCAAAAGTTCAGTTTAGTGTTCCCTACATAGCTATTATTGAGGATTAGGACTGCCCATGTTCCCCTCTCCCATTAGTTCTTTGTTTTCAATTGTAATGCTGTTTGCTATCAAGTAAAATATGTTTGCTACTGAAATTAGGAAAGGACTTCAGACTGATTAATCATTCTCTTCATTAATAGCTCTGGTAACAAGTTTGCTGGGAGACAATGTTGAGAGATTTTCTCATTGGGATTCTGGATTACTTATGGACAGCCAGATTTGTCAACCTTTCAGATAATCAAGAGTTAGTACTGCTACAGAGTATCCAAACAAAAACAATCAGTCCCTTTAGGAATAGAATCTAACCAGACCTCAAAATATTTCATTGAAAAAGACTGCCTTGAGGATATGGGCTATAGAAAAGATAAAAAAGGATGACCAATTATGAGTACCATAAACATTCCAGTAGAGAATCTTGAAAGGATAGCACACTAGAAGAATTTTTAAGTGGCCTATTCTATAAAGTCCTCCATTTTGTTTTAAGGCAAATCATTATTTTAAAATGAAGATCATCTGTAATTCTAAGAATACTGTAAACACAAATACAAAGTGCCTATTATTTGCAACTTGCTTATTTTGCTTAATAATCTATTATGAACATCTTTTCGTATACTGAATATTCTTATACATCACATGTGCTGACTTTGTAGTATTTTATTTTTTGGACATCTCAATTTATTTAATCAGTCTCTTATTATTAGGCAGCTGATATTATTTCACTGGTATAAAGATTCTGTGATGAGGACTGGGATTGTGGCTCAGTGGTAGAGTGCTCGCCTAGCACATGTGAGGCACTGGGTTTGATCCTCAGCACCACATAAAAATAAAATAAAGATATTGTATCTACCTAAAAAACTAAAAAATAAATACTTAAAAAAATTCTGTGATGAACATTCTTAGATAAATACATGATCACTGCCTTTGAAAATTTCTGTAAACAAAACTTCTAGAGTAGGGCATACAAACATTTTGAACCTTTGGTATGTATCATAAAATAGCTGTGTATCTTTCTTCTCCCCCATCCCAAACAAAAATCTATAACAAGTTGTACTCACATCACCACCAGTGTGTAACAAATGCCCGTGTATCATCACCAATATTGTGGTTAGATTTACAAATATTGTCAATTTGATAGATGAAATATATTTAGCTAATTTGCAATTTTTTTTACTTATCATTGAACTTGAACATTTTACACATTTCCTACTTACATTTATTCTTTTGTTAATGACTTACAAAATGTCCTCTATATCTAAAGGATATTAATCCACTGCCTAGCATAGTTTGCATGCTGAAGATATTAATTTTTATTAGCCTGGACTATCGATCTTTACCTCAATAATTTCCCCTGGTCTAAATTCTTTTTTTCTGAACAGCAGCCAAGTGCACATATTGGTGGAAATCTTGTTCTCTATTCCTCTATTAGGAGTCCCTAGGGGCTGGGAATGGGGGGTCATGGTGACTCCTGAGTGGAAAAGGGACACTGATGGATCTCAGGTTATCAAGACCATGGCTCAGACTCACCTACACAGTGGGGTTTTTGGTGAGATTCTAATTCATGTGTCAGAATGCATATTTGCTTGGAATTTAGGCTTCACGGAGAATAAAAATCTAGTTGATTCATGCAAAAAAGCAAATACAGTTTAAGAACACTCAAGGAAAACTGACTCCATCTCTTTCTCCATGGATAGAAATTTGGTTCTGATAAGGCACAAGTGGAAGGCCCACTGACAACCTCTACTTCTTCTCCTGCTAGCAGCACAGAGTTGCTGTTCTTATGCCTTTGTACTTGCAGTGACAAAGAGACACTGCTGACCTGTATCCAACCGGGAATGTCTGCAGAGAGCTTGCCCAGACAGATACCTCGATGATGTGTGTGTGTGTATGTGTGAGCTCTTTAAACAGGCCCCATCTCTCACACACATCCACACACCTCCACCGTTCAGCAGAAGCCATTTCCAAAAGGAGCTGAATAATGGACACCACTGGCCAAGATCTGTTGAAGCAGATGAAGAGTGTTTAGCTAGGGCCACAAACCTCTCTACGGAGTGAGCACTGCATGAAATACCTGGTGATACTAAACACCATCTCCTCCATCTTTCCTCTTTCTTACTGTGGTGTTTCCCTAAAAGCAGTGAAGTGCTAGGTTTTTTTTAAATTGATTAGCAGATGTGATTTTGCTTACATCTTCCATAAATGCTCTGGCTGGCTGCATATCATTGATTACTAGGGGTTCAGTTTACAGCAACTAATTGCTCTCCTTGCTGGTGTTTTGATACAAAATTCAATAGTGAATATGATTTCAAAACTCTTGTCTTTGCGGCTTGAGTCAGAAGTGACTCGAGGCAAACCCAGTGGACTGAGTTTTCCCTTCTTAAAATAATTGCTCTCTCATCAGTCTGTGAAGAAAGTTTCCAAATTGTAGCATTCTAATTGGAAAGCCTGCATTATGCATGCGATGACAAACTATGTTGTGCTGAATGGCATTTTTCCGTCCTTTCTTAAGGGATTAATTCTATGCCAGATTGTGAACAATGGCTGAAGCCTAACAGTTGAGATCAACAGCTTCTCCGATGAATTGGGGCCTCTCAGACCAGGAGCCAGGGCCTGTTTTGCTTGTTTCTAATTGTCCATCATTTGTGGGAGACTCCACTGAAAGCCCTGGGGCCAATACTAATCCTGTTGTGAATAGTTTTCTCCTTTGGGTGAAAAACAAAAACAAAAAACAAAACAAAACAAAAAAACACCAAAGAAAGATCAACTACCAGGCTGTTGGTAATGCTGTAATAGCATCATCAAATCCATTTCTAATATTTCAGTCAAAGTTAAAGATACAAATATATGCAGAAGGGGGAGGGGTTGTGGCTCAGCAGTAGCATGCTTGTCTGGGGTATGTGAGGCACTGGGTTTCATCCTTGGCACCACATAAAAATAAATAAATGAATAAAATATGCAGAAGACTCTTTGTTAAAGATCCCTTGAATTCTTGAGAAATTACTGTTTTCCATTCAACAGTCCAAGAGTTATTGTCCAAGAATTATTTACTAAGTACTACGTAACACTCACTT